CGCCCCAGTCCGCGCCCCACGAGTTCTTACACGTCCAGTACTTCTCCCCTGTGGTGCTGTCCACGCCGTAGCCGACGACCAGGACTGCGTGGCTCACCATCTGGGGAGGGGACGTGGAAAAGGGAAATCCTGTGAAATTTTCGTGTAGGAGAATTTGTGTTTGTGGTTATATGTATGTATGTGTGTGTGGGGGGTGCATGGATGTAATGGCAGATAGTTAGATGGATGTGTGCAAATTGTACGAAATGTGTCTGTTCTGTTGTAGACATTTCAAAGGGGATCAATGCATAAAGCTCGACAAAAAGGATGACGTCTTCCTATTACTAACCTGAAAGATGAGCAAAAGAATAATAAAAAAAGACATTTCTTATGCTGCCATTATAACAATAAAATCATCATAGAGCTTTTTATAGTTTGTAAAAGATGCTATAAAACAAAACCCAAGTAACAGAGGTCTCGGAATGCCAAAATAGCAACTTTTTGTCTTTTCCGCGAATCCTAAAGGCAATAGCATTAACAAATACATCCCAAAACAACCTACAACACGAATTCGACCCCAAGCATTACCTCCAGCGGATTAAACTCATTCTTGAATCCGGTGTGGTGGTAGATGCCGCCCTCGTAGTTGAAGAAGTCGTCGTAGACCATGTAAGCAACAGACAACGGCCCATTCTCCACCAGCGATTGCAACATGAGCTCCTCGTTGCAAGCCCCGAAGTAACCGCCGACGTACTGGTAGTCACTCACGTAGGTGCGCGCGCAGCTGGTGTCCGTGTCGCACAGGTCGTCCTGGGGAACGAAGCGGTATGTTCTGGGTATGAATTTTAGTATCATATTTTCCTTTCTTTTCACATTTTTTTTACTTAGTTTTTTGTCTTTTTTTACGTTTTTTACTGGTTTTTGTTTTACCTAAGGTTCTCTGTAATTGGCATGTGATGTTATTTTTTTATTAGTATGATTCTAGTTTTTGTTATGATCATTATCATTACGATCATTATTACTATTATCATTATTTTTATCATTATAATATTATCTTATTTATCATTATCATTATTATTTATCACTATCATATCATCATATTATCGATCATCATTATTATTGATGTCATTATTATCATTTATATCATTATTCATTATCATTATTCTTCTTATCATTATCATTAATCTTATCTTATCATTATCATTATCATTATTCTTATCATTATCATTACTTCTATCATTATTCTTATCATTATCATTACTTCTATCATTATTCTTATCATTTCTATCAATATCAATATCATCATCATCATCCCTTTATCCTATTAGTGATGCCCGGGCCCTTACCTGCCCGGTGTAGGTGTTGCACTCATCAGCCACGACGCCCTGTTCCATCGCATAGCGTCCGGCGATGAGGTAGTTGAAGCCTCCCGCGCATCCTTGGGACAAGAGGGAGCAGGAGACGACGTCCTGGCAGGAGATGGAGGAATGAGAAGGGGCGTGGGTCGGTTTCTGTCTGTCTGTTTGTTTGTCTGCCTTATTGTCTTTTCTCTTCTCTTTCTCTCTCTCTCTTCTATGCTTTTATACATATGTGTGTGTGTGTGTGTGCGTGTTCCTCTGTCTATTTGCCTATTTTTCTCTCGCTTAAGGTTTTCTTCAGCTTTAACATCAAATTTAATCTCTATTTTTTATGATTAAAAAGGCTTGTTACCTGCGTGGAGAAGACGTCCTGGCGCTGGCTGCGAGTGGCGATGCGCAGTCGGGACTCCAGCTGAGCCAAGGAGGTGAAGACGTAGCAGGAGCCGCATCCTCCCTGGTCCCTCACGTCACTCACGTAGTTCACGCCCTCCACGTCACGCCAGTCGAAGTTCTCCGGCAGGAAGGAGACGCGGGCCTTCTGCTGGGGGGTCGCGGGGCGGGGGGGGGGGTTGGGGAGGACGCTGCCGGGACCTCCAGCGCGGAGGAACATCTCTTCGACGGTGTACCTTCACAAAAGACATTTTTTCTCTCTACATGTATTAAAAAATACCACTCCTTTCAAAAAAAAAAAAAAAAAAAAAAAAAATTATGCTTTCACATCGGTCCAGTTGGTAATGACGGTAATGATGCGTACTTACTTGTCATGTTTTTCATAGACCTTAGCCTTCCAGGACGTCTGGGAAGCATTGATGTCGTCAACCATCTTCTGGTCGTTCTTGAAAGGTCCTGAAGGCAAAGGTGCTTTGACCTTTCCACTGATGCGAGGCGTGGTCTGTAAAGGCGGAAGATAAGACAGTAAAGAAATATGAAAATAAGGGCAAGGTTTTGAATATTTGATGTAAATAAAGATTGATTAATGAGCACAGATAATAACAAAGACAATGTTTTGCATAATATACAATGATAATAATAGAAATGGAAGTACATGATATGAATACAAATCATATGAAGTAAACAAAAGACGACTAGAAATTGCACACAAAGGGAAGTCGCACCTTGGTGTTCTTCTGGGCGCTGAAGCAAGACCAGTTCCTGACGGTCTTGTCACGTGACCAGCCGTTGAAGGTGCGGTCGCAGTAGGAGGTGGAGGAGGTAAAGTCACCCTCGTAGTAGGAGAAGGCGAAGTACGACCTTTCGTTGATGTTAACCTTGAGGGGAGAGAGGTCGCGTCAGGTCAGGCTCCAAATCTACAGCTCTCTTTGTTCAATAAAATCTACAGAAACCCGCGAGGCAATATTCGCCGGACCTCACCTCAAAGCCCTGGTTCCAGACCATGGTCCAGGTGCCTTCGTTGCCGAGCTCGTCCGTGGCGGTGTCGGGGAAGCTGAGGGTGAAGGTCTTGGTGTGGACGACGGGGCCGAGGGCGTCGCAGCTGAGGCTGCTGTCGCCCGACCGCTCCGTCTCCTGGAAGGTCCATGTGCCGCGGATGTCCTCGTACAGGCAGTTGGCCGGCGTGTCCGACCAGGCCAGGGACGCGCAGACGGCGAATAGCACGACACGAAACTGGAATTTTATTTTGGTCGAGATGTGTTAGAATTCGTTAACCATACTATCATCAAACTGGAAAAAAGTTATCTCTACTATTTATCTATTTCTAGTCTGGTTCTCCTGGACGATATATAAGAATATATATCGGCATTTTCCAATTTGGGATAAGCTTCTTTCCAGATATCTTTGTGGTGGAAATATAAACTTAATAAGTCATTCACTGACCCTCCACGGTAGTCACCGAGAGGCACACATTTTTACTGTGTTTTCCTTATCCACATGAAAGGGAAATTATGATAGATGAACTGTCTGACGTGTAGCTTACACGAAAAGTTATATATATGTATATATATATGTGTGTGTGTGCATATACATATAAATGTATATGTTTATATATATTACATATTATATACATATATTTATATCTATATATATATACAAATACATAAATACATATACATCATAGTTGACCGCAGCCATGTTAAAACGAAAACCCGTAAAAGTAATCGAAGCGTCCAAGGCAACTCACCATGATGTCGCTGAGCCGAGAGTGCTGACGGAACATTTTGTCAGCGCTCTTATACCATCTGATTGCTGATAATTTCAACATCTGCCCATCGCTGCTGACTCAATGCAATGTTCGCCTTATTATTATTTTTGCTTTATCCATATATCGATCGATACATATCTATTTTTCTTCATATGCCTCCCTTCCTCTCTCTCTCTCCATATATTATTATTATACTCTTTATATCTTATCTATATACTAATAAATATATATATATATATATATATATATTATATAATATTATACATAGCTGTTACACCAACACTAGTACATCATACACTACACACACACAACACACACACACACACACCACAAACTATTAAGTTAAATGGTATGAACTAATATGAATATAAAGAATGTCTTTGATAACTGTTATTTAACTGATAATTAATAATGATATGATGTATATATAGATGAATAATGTAATGATTAATTATATAGATAAACATAAATTATATAATATTAATGTAATAATATAAGACTATTTAGATAATTATAAATATAATTGATAAATGTGTGAGTGATAGATGGTGTGTGTGATGCTGAATTGTGTAACATACTTACCCCACATACGCAAATAACAATGTGTGTGATTAGATGTGAATGTGTGGATGATTGTGTAATGGTGTGTGTGTTTAATATGTATGATTTATATAATAATATTTAAATTAATAATAATAATTAATAATCAGTTAAACTTATTTAAGTATATAACATTAATAATAATTTAATGCTCGATAGATTAAGCTTGATAGAATGTAATATGTATAATTGAAATGATAATTAAGTAGACATTATGATAAGAATAATAAAAAATAATCTGACTTTATACTGTCTATTATAACTTAAATCTAATGTCATATAATATAAAATATATAATATGATTATATATATTATTTTAATACCCAGGTATTATATGTGCAAGGATAAATATATACAACGGTAATGGGTTATATATATGTATGTATGATATATATAAGTTACCATCCACTGAACTCATGCCAGAAGTTAAACATAAAGATAATATAAAAAGTAAACGTACTACAAATACAGCAAATATATCAATTATCGGTTAGTGTGATGTTCAGTGTCTTAATATATTAAAAATATACCAAGCTATGTAAATAAGCAACAACATAGAACTAAACCTGCCAGTCTTATATATATCGTCTATGAAATCTAGTTTATCGTAGTATACTTCCCCTACCAATTTATGCGTTTGTCTGAGATCTCTGTTTAATCCTCCCGCGACTCCTCCATGTCCCTTTCTCTCTGCTCCACCCTATACTTGTCACTATGTGCTGCTGTGTGTGTGTACTGATCTATTAGTTGTTTGCGTCTTAGCCAGCGCATTCAGATGTATGTATGGTGTGGTGTGAGGTTAACTAGTTGACTATTGTGTGTGCGTTATGCTTATGTGGTTGCAGTGTGTGCGTGTCTTTTAGTGTACTATGGTATAGTGTTACAACTGTGTATAACTTGTGCTGTCTTTGTGTGCGCAATTTGAGGAGAGTACAGGCTAAGGATGTGTGCTGGTTTGGCGCGCTTTATGTATTGAAATGTATGGACGGAAGCTCTAGTGTGCCACAGTGCAAGGTAAGGATTACAGAAGCGAACGAAAAGTGTGTGCATTAGGCGTGCGGCGCACAGTGAATACAAGCGCTCTAATGTGGTTATAACCTCACGATCGTTTTATCAGCGCTAATTGGCCGCGGTTTACATTCCTGTGTAATCAGTAAATTAACTGTTGCAGTCGAGCCTTTAAAATGTAGGCTCTCGAAAAGTAGATTGATACACGCGTATTTTTTCTCCGGATATTCTGCTGATGAGTGCTTCTGCCTATTACCCTATTGCCTATTAATGCATACAATATAAACCAAACATAAGATGATTATGTGTGTACCTCAAAGAGCAATATTGCACAAAAGGTATAAGTAAGTCATAGAGTCATACGCCATAGGCTTAGGAGGGGATGCGTTAAACTGTTCCAAGCCTTGTGCAGCCGTATAATCTGCTGTGTATAAAACTCCCGTGAGTATCTCTTTCCAGAAGAATAGATATCCTTCCATCACCGAGTGCTGTTACGTGCGTCTATGTCGGTGGTACTTTTATAACAAGTTTGGGGTAGTAACAGGTGATGTGTGTGCGTTTGTTTTCTTTTATCATGTGGTGCTTTATCGGCTTTTTGTGTGTTAACAACCTTTCTATGTGCTTGTTCGGTTTGAAGATTCCTTCCTCCCAAGTATTAGAAAGATTCTTTTCTATGTTAAGATTAGAGACAATTGGTGGTATGTGTCGTCGGTCTAAATATTCATATTGAACAAGTGATGATGTTATTACTCTAATTACACAATGTGTGTGTGTGTGTGGGTGGTGATCGAGCGGGAATGTCTGTGTGTAGCTGTGTGAGTTGTGTGTGGTTGTCGGTGTGTGTTATCATTGTGCACAAACAGCTACTATGTCACTGATTAACGTGCTGATGGAAGTAGATACGGAAAGATGATGCACATATTCCTACAACACTATATTATTGTTCTCTCTTTACAATTATTAATCTGCTACATGACATGACATTCGAAAGACGCTGGGAATGTGTGATGTATGAAGGGATTCCCTATGTCTCAGAATTGGCCTGAATTGAAACACCTGGGCTCAAACTATACAGACATGCACTTTTCTAAGAGGGGGAAGGAAGGTAGAGAAAGGGATGTGTGGTTAGATAGGACGGTGAATAATTAGAATATCTTATGTGTTAAACAGTAACCCCCCTCGGATGGGAGAAAGGCCAACGATAACATGCACGCGCGAACATCCCAAAGACTTATGACTACCAACAAGCTTTCATTTAAAGTATTTCGGTTGTGAGCAGCGGAGCGATAAGGTAATTATTAGTAGGAGGTCGCGCTTCGGAAGTCCTAGCCCTAGCAGACAAAATACAACAAAAAAACAAGAGCTATTGGAGGGTGTCATGAGACTGCAAGCCAACATTTGAAATCAATCCTCATCAACAAAAAACATTCAACGGTTTTCAAAATCGAACATCCTCATCATGTCAGAAATTTCTACAAACCGAAACCAACTATACCGTAAACAAAGTATATATCATTGGTATAAGAAGAACGAAATATAAAGGAAATCCCTGAAAAGATAACGATAAAAATAATCACGCATATTTCTATTCCCGTCTGGCGTCCCTTAGAATACAGGTTGACAGTTTCGCTACCTCCACATGCACGCACAGAATTGGATATCCATACTAGCGAAACATTACTATCTCGGCTTCCAAACACACCGTGGGCAAAGGCGAAAGGACTTTCTAATGTTGTAGCATGAAACCGGCTAGAAAAAGCAAAAGAGAGAAAGATAGAAAATGGGCGGATAAAGCGAGAGACCAGTGTAGATAGTAGGAAATTATTGTTGTATATAAAGAGGATAACGGAGGGAGGGAAAATAAGGATTTGGGAGCGAAGAGAGAGAGATAGCAGATGAGCATAGCGGGATCTGAGTTGAGTAGATTGCTTATATACATTTATGATCGAGAGAGACCGTCGACCTGCTTTAGGAGAGAAGAGAGACGAGACCGAATGAGAGAGATGAAGAGAGAGAGATCGAGAGAGCCCCTTGCCCGGTGAACCCTGAAACACAATGCGTCCCAAGACGAGAGACAGAATAAAAGTATAACAGAAACAAGCAACAGGATAAACCCTATACATTATGATATACTAACCATACCACGCTGAAACCATCCCGCCCAACAGGCCCACGCACAACAACTAGGCAATTGCTTAACCCATATGGAAATGCACGAAAAAACTAAACATACTGACTCTGCGAACTGTACACACAAAGTCTGTTACTGCTGGCCTGGAACGCAGAATACAAACCGTAGGTCTCGGAATAACTCGGACCTCAGGACTATACGACAGAGTGAGTACGGGTACATCAGAAGACATAAATTAATAAATAGACTAGAGAAGAAGTTGCATAGTATGGGAAGTGGAGAGAACGGCCAGAGAGAGTGTGGTGGACCTATGGTTGAACCCCAAAGCGGAAACGATATAACGCGAAAAGAACAATCCATGTAGGACCGGAAACCACATTGGCACCGCAAAGCATCACCAAAGTGAGAGGTAATCACGTATTGATCTTGCAGATATTGATATCTATCCATGATCAACCTGCAAAAACAACGGGAATATCTCTACTAATCTATTTCTATCAAGTTTAGCATTATTTCGGGGTTATTAGTTAGTATCATAATAGCGACCGCAGTTATGTAAAATATAAAAAATACATACAAGGGTTTAACCGATTCCTGATTCTGATAAGTATTACTCGCAACAAAAACTGCAGCATCTTGTTGAGTCATTTGAAGGCAAATATCTGCATACAGGTCGTATACATTCGTTACCGTAAATACTATCACACATATACTTGATTATATTATGCTAATGCTGTTTATGTATATTAGTATGGTGATGAATTTATGATATAAGAGTAGTGTGGGAAAATAATACTGTAGGTATAGATGCGTGGTGTTCAAGCGGGCAAATAAACAATGTGTGGGCACTTGCTTTAGGGTGGCTCGTGCGGGTGCCTACAATTGTGACGAGATGAGATGAGACGGTATGTGTGTGCGGATGTGTACTGTGTATATGTGAGCAGACAAATATTTTGATGTAGAGAAGTGCGATGAAAAATGTCCTTGGCTTAACGCTATATTAATGCCTAATTATGGTTACCATTACTTCGCCGTGATAGCTGATATTACATACAGTCCTCGTAGACACTTTAAGGGTGATATTATCCGTAGAATTCATAGGAAACTGAGTATATATATATTATATACTTATATACTACTAAACTAGGTTTGATATAGTATATATCTGTACCAAAATGTATATCATTATTATAATTGGTGTTGCGTGGTGTTGTGTGTGTTAGTGTTATAGAGATGTAGTAGAGTAGGTAGTGTTGTGTCTGCTGGTATCATACCATAATTTCAGAGCATATTTTTTTATGTCACTATATTCAGTTTCAAGGTACCCTGTCAAAGGTATATAATATAGCTATATGAGTGAGTAGTTAATATTTTATAAATATCTATATATTCTACGTTATATATTAATATGATTTATTTTACGTTGATACTACTGATTCTAATTTCAGCCGTTATACTAGTACAACACACACCACAGTGCACACATCTGAATCACCATAGGCACACACACACAAACACACACACTCAACACACACACACAGCAGCCGCAGCGACACGCACCACCACGACACGAACAACACACACGACACACACAATATCACATAATATCTGAGTAAATCTGTTACTATATATATAATATGAAGGATCAATTCCAGTACTATATATATATTATATATACATATATACATATATATATACATATATATATATATTATATATATTATTATATACGTACACTATATATTATATATATAGGGACCTTTTATATATCAAGTATATACGAAGACGGAGCGCGTATATTATATATACATATATATATTATACTATCTAGTATGCGACAGCAGCACTCAGCTTTAGTATCTCGATTAACGTCTATCCTCTCATAGGTACTCACTACCGTTTACATCTGATTCTCCAAACACTCAAGGATAACCTATATATACATAAACACATATTCAACTCTAACTTTCAGTTGATCATTCCTTCCACACTACGTAGTCTAAATGACTGATGACGACGCATCACACGACAGGCGAGCAACACGCAACCACATATATATCAAAATATAAATATAAAAAGATAAATATATCAGTGTACATTATTGTAGTATATAGGTAACCATTGAATATAATAACTTTACATAATGAGGGTACTTGTAATATATAATATAGTGTTAGAGAAATACGATAATTATATATATATTTTATAATAGTTGTTGATTAATATATATATATTTATATATACAAGTATATATATATAATATAACTATATATATATATATAAGTATTCTCAGAGATAAATTTATACATTTCGATCAATTACTATAAGTTACCCGTCATTTTCTACTACTTAAGAGTTCTATTTCACTATCAATACGATAGTAGTGTATTACTTGAGTCCTAAATATATAATTATTGAGTATGGGTATATATATATAGGTATCGACTGCTTATTCGTCACTATTATTATATCTTTCACCTAATAATTAATTTAATAGTAGTATACAGATTTTAAATATGCATCTTATCATCTATTTAATATGGTTGAATATTAAACTTAATATCAATACGCATAAGGTTATTATATCACATGACTATATATATATAACTTCGTACCTTAGCTTATACCTTATAATCATATCATAATATTTATAGTGGAGTACGATACTTTATTTATCTACTATCTCTCCACCATTTATTATACCATGTTACACACCACACACACACCTACACTCGACCGCAACACACCGCACCACATTCACACACACAACCAGCAGCACACACACACCACATCGAGCAACACACTCAATATATATTTATATATTATATGTATATATATATATATATATATAATACATCACATTCACAGTCACACACACAACACACAACAACACACACAACAACATCACACCACCCATCACAATAGGATATAATCTATATATAATATAATATAATATTATATATTATATTAGGTCTTATATATATATGCTATATTCATGTACTCTAATATATATGTGTGTGTATGGAGAACACGAAGGTACATGTGAGTTGTTCGATATCTAAATGTATGAATGTGGTGTAGTTCCGAGCGGGTTGTAAACTTGGAAACCATTAGACGGGTGAGGCGGAGGTGGGGTTAGTAGTGAGAGAGGTATGACCATTGTGTGTGTTATGTTATAGAATGTATAATGATTTAAAATAAAGATTTTATGGATATTGTTTTATCGTAAAAGAGTAATATGACAGCCGAAAGCTCCAACGGAGTCCTATCTAATGAAAATACAAATGCGATTTCTTCTTTCCTTTTAAAATCTCGTCCGTGCTTTCCCCATGAATTACATGCACCCCCCAGAGGAAGGTGAACATCCGATAAATCTTAGATAACTAATCAGCGCGAGGGGGGGAGGGGTTTATTTTACCTACTCCTTCATACAGAATATCAACACAAGTATTAGCACTCGAGGCCTGTTCAAGGGTGTACCTAGCTAAACACCGGGCGAGAAGCCTCAAATAGATAATAATAGCCGCACGACGTAGACAAAGTGTGCTTAGAGATAAGATGAGAATCAACAGCATGCTCAGACTGTGAACGACTTGGGCAAGCAAAGGCTTACCCTCAGCATGGAGAAAGGTGTGTGTGTCTTGGACATATAGTTCGCATCAACTATATGTAGCTTTGTGTTTCAAAAATTGTTCTTTTCACTGTACTGAAATGGAATTAGAATAGTGTAAAATATTCTAAACAATACGATTTCGTTGTCGTCAGATATTCAGTCGAAGAGATGTTCCTCCGCGCGGGAGGTCCTGGCAGCGTCCTCCCAACCCCCCCTCCCCCGCCCCCGCGACCCCCCAGCAGAAGGCCCGCGTCTCCTTCCTGCCGGAGAACTTCGACTGGCGTGACGTGGAGGGCGTGAACTACGTGAGTGACGTGAGGGACCAGGCTTCGTGCGGCTCCTGCTACGTCTTCGCCTCCATGGCTCAGCTGGAGGCGCGCCTACGAATGGCCACCCGCAACCAGCGCCAGGACGTCTTCTCAACGCAGGTAAAGAAAAGGTGCCTCTGTCGACTCGCCGTAACCTTCCTGCATATAAAGGATTCAGTGTTATCTCAACGTCATGCGAAGGAGCCTGAACGCGATGATTCCCTCTGCAGGATGGCGTGTCGTGCTCCGTGCTGTCCCAGGGCTGCATGGGCGGCTTCGCCTACTTGATCGCCGGACGCTACACCATGGACCAGGGCGTCGTGGCCGAGGAGTGCAACCCTTACACTGCACTTGTACGTTGTTCTTGATGCTCTTGGCCAATAGACATAGATAGATAGATGTTCTTGCAATACTTTCTGGTTGTGAGTTATCCACATCTCAATAGACATAATCAAAAGACCAAAAAAACCTAACAGTAATATTTTTCTTCAGGACGACCCTTGCGATACGGACGCCAGTTGCGCGCGCACCTACGTGAGCGAGTACGAGTACGTGGGCGGTTACTACGGCGCCTGCAACGAGGAGCTCATGTTGCAAGCGCTGGTGGAGAAGGGTCCCTTGCCCGTCGGCTACATGGTCTACGACGACTTCCGTAACTACGAGGGCGGCATCTACCACCACACTGGTTTCAAGAACGACTTCAATCCCCTCGAGGTATGTATTAGTTTACGTTCTATTCAGTGAAAATACTTAAAACGACAGAAAAGAAAAGATTAAGAGATAATCTAGAAATTGCAAGAACATCAATAAAACTAACTAATCATACATTTTTTTCACTTTCTCCCCCAGGCAACATCTCACGCCGTCCTGCTGGTGGGCTACGGCGTGGACAACACCACAGGGGAGAAGTACTGGACGTGTAAGAACTCGTGGGGGCGCGGCTGGGCGAGGACGGCTTCTTCAGGATCAGGAGAGGAACCAACGAGTGCTCCATCGAGTCCATGGCCTTCGACGCTACCGTTATTCCTTAAGGAGGACCTTCTTGGGAACGTTAGATATGTGATGTGTATTGCATGTGGAATAAAAACCTTTTCCCGTTTTCTTCTTCTTTCTTTCTTTCATTTTTCATTCATTCATTCTGGCTGATCCAAAGGGTAAAGGTTATGTAATATTAATGCTCGATATAAATCATATTAAAACATTCAAAATCAGAACTCTATTGCCATTGAGATTAAGGCGATGGGTTATGAAACGACACCAACTCCATTAGAAAAATTAATGCAAACGCGAATCATGATTATACAGTCTTTTGAGTTAGATAAATATGATAGTTTGGTTTTCGATTTCCCAAGTTTGAGATCGGATTTGGAGTTATTTAACTTATAATTAGTTAATTATCCTCGTCTTTACTCATAATATATTCAATGGCAATTATCTAATGCAATTAAAGTTATTACAGGCAGGCGTTCATTCATTACGCTCTTATGCAATCATTATAAGTAATTACATAAGTTCATGATAATGATAAGATAACAAACACGATGCTAGTATTTGATATTGATAATAACGATGGTATTAATAAAAATAAAACTGAAATTTATATAAAAGGAAGGTGGTTGGGGTACTATCGATAAATAAAAGTAATAAGGATGACAATGATAACGAGATGATAATGATAATAATGATGATGATAATGATAATAATAACAATAATGATAATAATGATATTGATAATAATGATGATGATAATGATAATAATAACAATAATGATAATAATGATATTGATAATAATAATGAAGATAATAAACCAAAAATAATAATGATAATTATAATAATAATTATAATGATAAATAATGATAATACTCTCAATGATAATAATAATAATGATTATGACAAGAATAATATAAATAATAAATTAATAAATAAGTTTTATATGATCATGATGAATAATTGTAAATGTTAGCTATTACTATTATAATAATCATAATGATACTGACATTGATACTAATAATAATATTGATGATAAGAATTACAATAATGATAATGAAAAATCAACAACTGTAATGACGTCATCATTACCGTTACAAACATCGTCCTTATAAGTATCAACCACTTTAAAAGAGAGAAAATAAAGTGACAATTATTTTAATAATTACAAAGCAACGAGAGGAAAATAATAAAACAGAAGCCAATAGAAAGAAAAAAACATCACAAGAATTTGCAACAAGCATGGCAACGGCAGAGCAAAAATAATGCTGGCACATAATACTGACAAGTTATAGACTCCAAGGTCTGAAGTCCATTGAAGGGAAAACAAAATGTATACGTAGGCAGACCCGCCTCCTGTACCGTGTTCTCCTTGTTGATTCAGCTCACGAACTGGGGTCTCGTGGACACTATATTGGGAGTCATGACTGTTCTCTTTTCTTTGTGTTTTAAGGAAAATGATGAACAAATGCTATTTTCGTGTTGTTTTTTATTTTTTGTTTATTTGCTTCTTTTTTTAGAGGGATGTGCATTCTAAAGAAAGCTTGTTCTGAAAAGCTACTTGTACTTGGAGTGATATTTCCTGAATTTCCAGCGGGACGTCGTTGCTCGTTAGATTCAGCATTGGAACCGATTTATATAAAACCGATTATGGAACTTATTAATGTGGCGATTTTCATTAACCACTTTTTAGTTGATTTGTAAGATTTTGTCGTCTCAGATTTTTTTCGGTGAAATTGATGTTGATGCTAATGAAAATGATGTTGATGGTAGTGATGATAATGAAGTTCATAATAATGGCGATAGGGATAACAATAGTAATGATAACAGTAACAATGATAATGATAATAATGACAGTAGTTGCTGAAGTAGTAGTAGTAATGATAATGATAATGATAGAAGTAATATAAATAATGATAACGATATTTATAGTTATAATGATAATAACAGAAACGATAGTAATAACAATAATGACAGTAATAATGCCATTGTTATTATCCTCCTCATCATAATGATGATGATGACTGATAAAAGCAACAATAACTATAACCATAACAATGACAATAACAACAACAAAATATAGAGAAAACACTAAATTTGGAAAAAAAAATAATCACCAAGACCTTCAGATATCACACTCTAAGTATAGTAAAGCCATCTTTATTCAGTCACGTCATCTTAGGGTACGAGGATTAGAGAATCATGAGGAATTATGACTGCATCACGTTGGAGGATTGGGAAAGAGTATATATAAAAGAAAAGCCTTATGGACGAATATTTATGTAGTAAAATTTGAGAGAAAAAATAGGGTATTTGGTGTTTGGTTACAATGATTCAACAGTTTCAACAGTTGTCAATCAATAATGATTGGCAACTTCTGTATTAGTGCAATGCAATTATCATAGGTAGATGTAGGTAGATGGATAGCTATTTGGCTAGAGTGATTAAAAATAGATATCTGTTTGTGTGCGTATACGTACGTATATATATATATATATAATATATATATATATAATATATATATATATATATATATATATATAAACATATACATATATATATTATATTTATTTATTTATTTATTTATTTATACGAACACATATATGTCGAGAGAGAGAGATATACATAAATAGATATAGATATAGATATACATATACATAGATATACATAGAGATATATAGATACAGATATAGACACATTTGTGCATATGTATATGCATATATAGACAGATACGTATATATAGATAGATAGATGAATAGATGAATTTATATACAGTATACATGTACACACACACACACACACACAACACACACACACACACACACACACACACACACACACAACACACACATATATATATAATATATATATATATATATATATATATATATATATATATATATATATATATTATATATATATATATATATATATATAAGATCGAATGATAATAATAGTAATAGAGTAATTATAATGACAATAATAATAATAATGATATTATAATAATGATGACAATGATAACAATAATGATAATGATGATGATAATGGTAATGACAGTATTAGTAATTATAATAATAATGATGATAATAATAATAATGATAATAATGATAATAATGATAAAAATAATGATAATGATAGCAATAACAACAATGATTAATGATAATAATAATAATAATAATAATAATAATAATAATAATAATAATAATAATAATAATAATAACAATAATCAAAATAATAATGATAATGACAATGATGATAATGAGAACAATAATGATGATGATAATGATGTTAATAACAACAAAATAAAAGGTTATAATCATTTATTTCATAGCATCTTTATCTTAATAAGGTTCTTATTTGTATTGGTCTGTATGTTTGTTTTATGTGTACATTTTTGTATGTGTGTTTTTTTCATGTGTGTGTGTGACTAATAATAACATAAAAGAGAAAGAAATTAATAATGAATTAATGCGAAGATATACCTTCGACATAAGAAAAATGATAAATAATATAATAGATGATAAATAAAACCTTTTAATTAAAACCTGTTTACACATCCTTTCGAAGGTTTACAGCTACGGCACATTCCATCCTAACTAAGGGAATGGCGTCGTAGGCTCGACCGCATAGGAACCGATGTTGCACTCGTTGGTTCCTCTCCTGATCCTGAAGAAGCCGCCCTCGCCCCAGTCCGCGCCCCACGAGTTCCTGCAGGTCCAGTACTTCTCTCCCGTGGCAGGATCGACGCCGTAGCCCACGAGCAGGACGGCGTGGCTGGTGGCCTGCGAGAGACGTGCGAATTAGCAAGGAGGAGAAGCATTGTCTGTTATTTTGGGGGATTTCTTCCTTGATTCTGGTTCTGCTTCATTATGTATGTGGGTTTTTTATAGGTTCTGTTAGTTTTTTATTGATTGTTTGTATGCATCCGTGGCTTTTGTGTGTGTGTTGTGTGGTGTGGATTGTTGGTTGTGGTGAGTGTAGGTTCTGGGTGTGTGTGCGACTGTGTGTGTGTGCGTGTGTGTGTGTGTGTGTGTTGTGTGTGCTTGTGGTGTGTGTGTTGTGTGCCTTGTGTGTGTGTCGTGGTGTGTGTGTGTGTGTGTGTGTGCTGTGCGGGGGTGTGTGGCTGGTGTGTGTGGCCCGCTTGTGTGGTGTTGTGTGT